CCCTTGATGAAAGATATTTTAGTTCACTTGAGATCAAAGACCACTGGAGTATTTCTTATGGATCAGATACAACTCTCTACAGAATATACCGATCAAGATGTAGTTCAATATTTAAATCAAGCCCTAAACAATACTAAAAAGTACAAGTTATTCATAAATGGTACATCCTTTAGGGATACATTAGAAAAAGTGATAAATAACAATGGTTTTGATAGGGAAAGCACTCTTATAATAGAATATGCTGAAATAAAAGACTTTCCATTGGATATTGAAGTTAACTTGGGATCTGGTGTCTTATTTCTGGAGGTTTATAGAAAGTTGCTATTTATTGGTACGAGTGATAATAAGATCGTGATATACAGCTTTGATGGAAAGATAGAGTTAGAGGATACTATTGGTACAATGGGATACCTTATAATGGGAGTATCAGTAGTAAGTAAGGAGATCTTCTATTTCTATAACTCTAATAATGAGATATTCGTATACAAGGAGGGATCCACAGACGTGATATCTACAGATAATTCCCAAATCACAGCCATTTCCTCTTCAGATACCTTTCTAGCTTATGGTACAGAGAACGGTACAATAAAGCTCTTGGACTTCAAGGAGAATTACAGGGAAGTAAAAACCCTTAGTTGTAGGGGAGGTGTATCGAGAATAAGATTTGTAGGAGATAGTTTATATGCTACATCACTCTCTGGTGAGCTATTGATCTATGAAAATGAAAAGATAAAAAAAGTTGATTTTAATATTCCTCTAATTAACTTTGTAAAGATGAATGAGACATTGGTCATTGGTACGTCTAGAGCTAAATTGATATGTTTTGTGGGTGAAGACAATAAAGAAGGAAAGAGTGATATAAGAGCTGTGGATTTAAATTATGTAAATTATTTATCTTGTAAGGGTGATGAAGTGATTTTGGGTGATCAATACACTGTGGGAATTGGGTACAGTAAAATAGAAAGTGATACACAAATAAACGGTATGTGTTGTTTTGATGACTATCTGTTTATTGCCACAGATACATTCATAAAAGGATATGAGATAAGATAAAGAAATGGAGAGCTAACTGTACCCATCTTTAATTAGTCATCTAATTGGAGATAGATTCTTATTTCTACTCCAACTCTTTACCTCCATGTCATTAGTGTACCCCACTACTCTCCAAAATGACTTTTAGTACATTCGATATCTCTATTTGGATATTCAAATAACTTTCACTGTCTATAGAGATGTGCAAGGATAGATTTCTGTCCTTAGTGCTATCTTCATTTATTTGATCCAGCCTCATTCTGCTTTCTACGTGTTTATAAGCACCAACGGTTCCCTTTACCAATTTAGCTTTTAGCACTCTGTAGACAGAATGAGTGGGTCATAAGGGAAAACGAGCAGGAATGGGATAAACTAACACTGAAACCATAAATAAAGTAACTTTACCTACAACCATCCCTCTCTTTCTAATAATTAGCCTTATCTCTTCACATCCTCATCTCCCATAGAACTTCATTACATTCTTTTGTATACTTTTTATATTTCCAAGGACATCCTCCAATAATACATTCAAAGATCTATTCACATCCCCATTATCTCTAGTGTTACACTCTTCAAGCAATCCACTTATTATATCTCTAACAGACATCAACGTAGATTCAATTAACCTTTCAGTTTCTCTAAACAATTCCTCCTTCATCGGATTTGGGGATGGAAAACTCAGTGCCTGGCACCCTTCTTATAAGATCTCATAGTGTTAGATACTAAAAGAAGAGTGGAGAGTGTTTCATAACTTATCTAAGCTATAAGGAATTTCGTACAGTATCTCACCAACAAATATTTCATGAATCATTGTTTTTCTAATTGTTGGAATATCTGAGGATCGAAAGAGAACATTTCTGGTCCTAACCCTGTTTTTAGCATATGTACACATAAACACCCCACAATCATCACCATTGTGTTGAATGGGAATGTTTCTCCTAAAAAAGATGCAATATCTACTCTCCCATCCCAAATTTCTAAACTCTTCCCGTTTAAAAAATTTAATTAAACTCGATATCACCCATTTCCTCTTAATCTTCATAGAATCAAAACATTCAATAAATCTACTCTTAACATCTAATACACATAGCACCCAATGATTACCCAGGTGAATCGGTACAAACACATAATCTTTCTCAAAAATGTTAATTCTATCAATCCATCTCTGTACATGTTCTATTCCCTTAGTCTCTAGACATGTGTAAAAGAATGTAGAAAATACCTCTGTCTGTATGTTGTACCTCATTCCATACTCTTTTATCATTTTAAAATACACATTTACTATCTTGTCATTCAACCATCTACCATCTCTTAATCTATTTATATCCTCATTCTCAATCTCAATATCGAATTTTGTTATAACACTCTCCATTTCTAAGATCGTAGAAACTAGAGAGTGTAAAGAATTCAGATTACCGAAAGGTTCTCTGTGTTTTACATTTTCCATTTTAGTATTTCTGAGTTTCTCTTCTATTCTAATATACTGCTCTATCTGTTTCTTGTTGTATTCCTCCAGCTCCCTTTGAGATTCTATAAAAATCTTGAAAGTCTGTTGGTTCCAAGGAGTGTCAAATGGAACTATCATATTATTGGTGTTCGCTATGTTATGTATTTCTCCATGTACATCTTCATATTCCTTATCTTTACATTTAGAATTACTCCTCTCAGTTCCAATTGTATGACTCTCCATGGCTATGCAAAGGATGTGACCTATATTAAAGGTTATGGCAATGATCGAGAATTGGGATATTAATGGATTACAACTGATAACGTTGGTTCTATGAGTATTTAGTGTTTAATTTGTAGACTACACAAAGGTTGTTTGTAAACCATTCAAGGAGACAGAGGTGGATATGGGGACACATGCAAATACTCACATGAAAGACATTTAAATATGGATGATAATACTGCGAAGAGTAGCAAAGATGATATTAACACCAACATAGGATATAAAATACTTCTGTGGTTGTAGATACCTTATTTATGAAAATTAAACCAAGTATCACTTTATTGATAGAAAGTTACTTTATGTACCTTGACAGTGTCTTCCTTAAGGGCTTTAACCGAATATTACACGAACCTATGTATTCACGTGAAGTCTTAATATAAAAGCATCTAGAGAGTATTGAAATGAGATCAAAAAATATATTGGTCCTTTCCTCATCATTTGTAGAGGATCTGAATCGCTGTTCAACCCTTGGTAATGCATCACAAAGCATACACAGGTGAATGCTTAGTATGTCAGTACAAGACAACTTATTGTTGTGTGGTATCTCAATGAGTTTTTTGGACAGTAAAAAGTAAGAGTCAACTATTTCATCTCTCCTTACTATCTTTAAAACACTCAATGCATTGTTCTTCAGTAAACTCCTCCTGGTATTACTAGAAAACTGGAAATTGCTACAACCTTCATAAATACCTCTAAGAACATCTCTCTCAAGGATAAAAATTGTGAATGTAAAAATCTTCTTATAAACACCCCTTCTGTTATGTATCAAAAAGTTATCATCCAAGTACACATCATCTCCAATTTCGTACTCTTTACATCCAAACCTTCTCTCATAGCAATAACCAAAAAAGTTATAAAATATCTTATCGTTAAAGGATCTGAGAAACTCCTTGATACAGAGATAGAATATGGGGAAATCTCTCCCAAATGTAGCTGAAGTTCTAGCATTGTGCTTATTTTTAACTCTGCTATTACTACTACTGTTACACTTGAGGTTGTTATCGTGTCTTACCATTCTGGAGAGAAGGTAGTGAAAGATAAAAAGATTGGTGAAGTGATGATCTACCAACCCAAGTTTGTAATTCCTCGTTAAGAACTCACCAAAGCTTATCATTTCTCTGAAGTACACCAACATCGAGTATTTTAGTGTCTCTTCAACTACTCTAATTAAATGGTCACTGAATTCTCTAACCATCTCCTCTGTGATAATAACCCTGGGATATCTCCTCTCCTCGCTCCTCACAAATTCGAATATCTCCAGTACTTCTTCGTAGCCCAGTTCATAAAACCTTCCATCCTTCTCACTGATGAAGTTCATTAAACACCATGGATCAAATGTATCAAGGAAAAACCATTGGGTTACTTCATCCTTGATCGACCTCAGTGGATCACTCTCTAGAGATGTGGGTATATCTTGTGTATTACTACATCCCCCATCCATTCTAAGATCGTGACTGGTAGATGGTAGCTCCTTAAGATCTAAAGACATGTTTTGGTCTGGTTGGATGGATTGACCAACTGGTGTAGATCCCAAATTGTAGTTCTCATGTGGACAAGAAGACATTTCCTGGATATCTCCGCAGCATGATGGATCATAATTCATTACACTACAACACCTTTGTAGCACACCTTGATGATACCATGTCTCTGTATCGTTGTAGGTATTTACATCCTCCATTTGTGTGGAAGTATTAACACAGCGATCTAATTCATCAAAAAAGGCATCTATCTCACTACAAGTCAAAAAAGGTGAGCCATCAGTTGATATAGGTTTGTCTAAACTCAGATCCCCACGCTCCTCTCCTAATTCTGTATCTCCTAAAAGAGTACTATAAAATCCATTTGTACTTGGTAAATTACCAATCCAATGTCTATCTTCATGGTTATCTTCGTTACCCATAACGACATTTTCTATCTCATTACATTCCATTTCATGCATTCCCACCACCATCTCTAAATATAAAAAAAATAAAATTCCTTCTAACAACATCCTTCCCATCAATCCTATCATAGCATCAATTTCACTTTTTATAACTTGTATTAACTGCTTTAAGTAAATTAATATGTTCATAGTAAGTCTCTTCCCTGATAAGAGCTTCTTGAATCTACACTCACTCTAAAAAGATAAAAGCATCCCAAATGTGATGTTTATGCATAAGCTAATCGTTGAGAACTTTTATGCAGTGTAGCCATTAAAGTCTAATTAGTGGATGTTAAGATTGGGAAAAGAGGAGGGGTAATGGAAAGTAAGGAGAAAGACTTAAATGGAGTTAACACTTCTTTGATCAACACCCAGTGCGATCCACCACACAAGAGTACAAAGAAGGATATTATAATAACACATAATGGCAAGTTTCACTTGGATGAGGTTCTGGCTTGTGTCATACTAAAAAGTATAAGGCCAGAGAGTGTGATTGTTAGAACCAGGAACTCAGAGTTGATAGAAAAATTAAAAGAGCTGGGATATGTGTATTCTATAGTGGATGTTGGAGGTGTATTTGATAATACCAAAAGATATTTTGACCACCACCAAGCTGGTTTTGAGGAAACCTATTCTGAGAAGTACTCCGTGACTTTGAGTAGCTCTGGGTTGGTTTACAAGTACATGAGAGATGAGTTTTTCAGGTCTGTGGGTGTAGACAAGGATAAGGAAGAATTGTATGAAGAATTGGTGGAGGATATATACCTTGAGTATTTTTTGTATGCAGATGCTATAGATAACGGGGTAACCATCTATGGAGAGATAATACCCAGAACAATGGCATCAATGATAGATTCACTTTATGAATATAAAAAGGATGAGAATGAGAGAGTAGAAAATGATATAAACAGTTTGATAGAAGAGATTCTAGAGGATAGGATCAAAGATACAGATCAATCCTTTTATAAAGGGTTTAATCTTGTAGAAGAAGATTTAAAAAGATATCTCCATAAGAAGATAAACCATTGGTTACCTTCATTTAAGAATTTGGACAGATTTGTAAGAGAATCTACCAGTGATATACTAATAATAGATAAGGATACAGTTATAAGCACAGAGATGATAAATGTGGTAGAGAAGAAGTACAACAAGGATATAAAATTTCTAATTTACGATGATAAGAACCATAAAAGGATATGCACCATTAATAAAGCTAGATGGAGATTTGAGTCCAAACACAGCTTAAAAAAGGAATGGGGTGGTCTTAGAAATGAAGAGTTGGATAGGGTCTCTAAGATCCCTGGAGGGATATTTGTTCATAGAACGGGCTTTACAGGGGCGCACACAACTTTAGAGGGTGCTATGAAGATGTGCAGGGAATCTCTAAAGGATGAAGAGAGGAGATAGAAAATGGTTTTATTTAATAAATCGCGTTAAACCTTCTCTTTACCCTTATTATAACACCTTCTATAGCACAGTAAAAAATCGTTCAATCTTCTAGGAACCCTGAGGGTAGAGAACTCCAAAGAACCATCCTTGGATCTAACCAAGTTAAACTGAGAAATGAAATATGAAATATTCACTATCTCTCTACTTCTAACAAGGATAAATGAATTATAGATGTGGATATTAAAAGATAACACTAAAATGGTAGATAAGACAAATCTAAAGATGAGATCTTTAGATATTAAAACTATCTTGGGATATAGAAATATCTCCCCTTCACTGTCCCCCTCCTTGACCTTTAGGTACCAATAATACAAATATGAAATATAGCACAATGAAATTATAAATTTGTACTTGTAGATTGATTTTATTTTTGACTTTATCTTTCTATTTAAAAGCTCTTCTAATATTAAAATATCTTTAGAGGTATTAGGAATGATCCCTTGGTGTTTACTTACCTTTAAATGGATTGTTATTCTCTCTTATCATAGACTAATTATGGGGGGAAGTGATTTGATGGTCTCAAAATTAGCTTTTATTTACTTTTTCGATTAATTAGTGAAATCATAGAAATTCTCAACTATCTTCATATTCTCATAACGTAAAGGTTCTGTTTCAGGATATTTCATAAGAGAAGCAATGGTTTGGAATAGATCTATGCACATCCTTCTTTTAACACCAAAATCTCTCATTCCCTCCTTTATATTCTCAGAGTAATAAATGTCCCCCTCTATATACCCATTGATATATCCTAATTTTATGTTCTTCATAAGCAAAAATTGTACATCGTTGGATTCCATTCCAATGAGCTCAGAAATATCCCTAAAGCATATCCTGGAATATACCAAGCTAACCTTTCTTAACCCTTCTTGGATTACGTTTTGATACAATCTCTGTATTATAACATACAACCCATCCTTAAGGTATATCTCTCTATTCCTTTCAACTATCTTCCTAAATGTACTCAAATTAGAAGATCTAACACACTCTACCAATTCAAAATACTCCTTTTGATTTCTCTTCCATTTAAAGTTCTTTAGAGTAAGGAACTCTCCCCCTAGAAGTAAGCAAACAATGACATACTTCTCACAATGGGGTATAAACCTAGAACTAGAAGATAGAATGATGGAATAGTGGAATGATTCCAAAGCCTCTTTGTACCTTAGAGATACCAAATAAACAATCCCTTTAAAATAATTAAATTTTGAGATATTCTCAGATCCCACTATCTCTATGTCTAGGTAACCTAAACACTCCTTGAACATTTTCAATTTTATTAGAATATCCAAAATGATATTTACCAGCACTGAGGTGGTATGTCCATTTCCTATCTCTCGATTGGTAATAAAAATATTAAAAAAAAACTCATCTTCTTCAATTCTTAGCTCCTTGACTGCTAGATAGTAAAAACTTAAAATTAGGGAATTCAACAGATCAACCCTTCTATTCTCCCCAAGAAATACTCCACTCTCCTTTAAAGGTGTAACTACCCCTACTACCTCCTTGTACTTCTTTGTTCTAAGGAATATCCCAACTTTAACCAAAGTTAGCCCTAGGGATACTTCGTTTGACATCAAAGATTTAGATTCAAATTCATTCTCTATACTCACTACATCATTTACATCTAAACCTTTAATAATTTTATGCAATGATTCTCTCAACATGTCTCTTCCTGATTCCTTCCCTATCTCTAAGAGAATATCCCTTAACATCTCCGATTTGGTTCTTTCTATCTCCATGTTGGGGGTAAGAGAAAGTTTAGGATGTGAGGAATGGAATTAAAGAGAAAGATTCTGAGAATTTTGTAGACGGTGCATTTAATTAAAATTCATTCTTCTTTGTTTTTATAGTTTGTGATTAGTCTTAGAATATAATCTTCATAATTGGTACTCTTTGCTTTGTATTCTGATTCGATAAATGAAAAGGGTTTTTCATTTCCTATTTCTACGGTACCATCAAAATTATCTTCTAATCTATCTATTCTAATGGCAATGTTTAATTCTTCATCTATTACCACATACTTGTGGAAGAACCCCGATTCATCTATCATTTTAATACACTCTTTTTTATCTTTAGTAAATCTATCACCAAAACCTGCTGTGTCAATCTTTAAATTTGTCTTTCCTTTCATTTTGTTTAGATTTAGGGTCAATCTATGAAATATAGTGGTATCACTCAAATTAGAAGGAGAGGATTGACTTGGTGCAGGGAGTGTTGGAAAGGGATGGTTATAACGGGTAAACCCAAAATATTTTATTGAAATTCATTTCTCAATATCTTTCTTCATGTTACTCTCCATGCGGTGAGTTAGGACAGTAAAGTAGTTATACTCGTTTCATTGAATATCATCAAGAGATACAATCTTCCTCGTTCTGCTTTCATAAGACGAAGTTATATCCACTGAGTCTATGAACCACATAGATGGGGACACTAACCCAAGGTTGATTGATCTTCTCGTGTAGATACCCCTCAGAATGTCACGATGGGGATTCGGGATCCTACGTGCATAGGGTAGCAGATATGACCAGAACCCTAGATGAGAATGTCTATCTGTCAATAGAACTAGAAAATGGCAATCCCAACACCTTACAGTGCAGATAGGGAAAGCTCAATTATGTAGTGTTAACAACTTACATGAATACCATCTCCCTGGAATCGAATAAATAAGGTTATGATAGGATCTCTCACTTAAGAATGACTCTTACAAACTCTCCTTCTAGAAAGAATGGGTGTAGAGATGTTAACAAATATAAAGCTATAGTAGAAAGGATATTTGAGTTTTTACGAAAGAAGTAATCTAAAGATCTACTTTCCAGATACTCAGTAAAATTACCTAATTTTACACACCATACTTTCACATCTTAAAGCTAACGTAATAATACTCTCCACACCCATCACTTTAACACGAATGGAAAGATATCTAACCTCATGTAAATTCTTGGTGGGCTTGTCAATTGTTTTAGAAGAGATCGGAATCGTACTGTGTGAAAACTCTGGAAGCTTTTTCACTAAACTCTGTGATTCCACGAAAATAATAATCAAAAGTAACGAGTGAAACAACTTTCCTTGGATTATAGGGAATGTGTTGAAATAATCTTTTTGTAAATTCATTAACTATCACTTCTACATAGTTTCCCTCTTTAGAATACGAAACAATTTCTTTTAGTTCCTCAGACTTCAGAAATGATCCTTCCATGAAAATTCTATTGATCTCCCCTTTGAATATCCTTGTGAAAAAATCAAGTTCAGAAAATCTGACATTCCAAAGATACAACTCACGCAATTTAATACCAAAACTAGGGAGTGTTGGCATTGATAAACTCTCTATCCTACAATATCTTAAGTAAAGCCTTTGTAACTTTTTACATTTTGATAGGGATATGAGATCACCTACATTCAGAGATAGATCAAAAAGATTCAGACTAACTAAATGTTTTGATAGTTCCGTTGGCTCACTCTGATTCTCTAAGATAGAAGAGAGAATACCAAATCTATGCTCTAGTTCGATATTTAGAGATGTCAATGGGAAATCTCTCAAATTTGGGAGATCAATGCGAATCTCATCACCATAGTTCATGTAGCTAAAATGAATTTCTTTGAATTGTGAAAGATATTCAAATACACCCTCTTGCTTCTTTAAGTTAATATCACCGAGTCTGTAGAATTTTATTGACAAATTTTGGAGCTTTTTGAGGTTTGTAATGGCACTCAGATCGTCTAGGGAGAAGACATGGTAAAAATCAAAATGTAAAGTGAGAGATGTGAGGGTTGTGGTAACCTTGCTATTTTGCACGAAGATCTGACTTACAGACTCATTGAAATTTCCAAGGAAAAGCTCATCTAAGCTAAAAGCTGATAGGAGTGAGATGTTCCTTGCAGATTCATATCCATTCCCCTCAATTGTTTTTACAACACTGATACCCAGCTTTTTTAAATCTCTTTGTAGCTTTTTGCTTGTAAAGATCAGATCCAATGGAACAACCTCTACACATCTTCTCTCTCCCCCACTCACATCATCGTGGTGTATCACGTCAGGTAAAAATATTGTCAGCTCTTCAAGGCTCTCTGTAAATCTACTACTGTGGTCAAATAGAATAAAAACACACTCAAAAATGAAACTTAACGTTATACCATTTAAAACGAGCTTTGTTAAAGAATACGATTTTGCTAGTATTTCTATACTCTTATTATCCTTGACCCCAAATCTTAATATGTTTAATACTTTGAGACTTCTTTGTAACTCACAATCATTGTAAATGAATTGATATTTTATAATTCTATAAGTATTGATTTTATCAATGTGGAGTTCATCTAGTGAAAATTTAGACAATTTTTTGAAATCATTTTCCATTACGTCATCAACTGTAATATCCAATACCTTCAAGTTCTCTCTCAATACATCGCTTTCTAGTATTACATCTAGGGTACAAGACATGACAAGTTTGAGTTTGACTATCTTAAACTGGGCTATAGATTCCAACTCCTTCTTTGATAACTCACTTCTCCTTACCTCAAGTGAGTCAATACACCAAAGGTTGTAGAAGATTCTAAGTATTCCCAGAAAGTCTTGTGTTGAATGTCTAAGACAGGTCAAGACATGTGGCTCAATTATCAATTCATTTTTCACGTTTATCCTAACCCTTTCATCGCCACCTCTTATTTCTAATACACCCTTCCTATCTCTAAATGTCAATCCAACCATATCTAGAAACACTTCAAGTATCACTCTCATTGCATCCTCTCTAATGGTGCCATTTCCAATCAACTCCTCACAAACCTCATTATTTCCATCTTCTGTTAGCCACATCAATGAAAACAACAAATTCTGATACAAATTCTTGGTGTTATCACTAAATGAAATGTACTTGTTTACTGTTAACAATACATCAACTATGGATCTATCCTTTATGCATGCATCAAAGTTTACTTTCTTTTTATTCAGTGATAGAATCTCCTCAAAGGTATCCTTTGTGGTATCAATGTGAATTCTTTCTAGGGTACTCTCACTAAAGGCACTAGACATATCACCAAACATATCCTCTATAGGATCAAGTACTCTAACCTCATCAACATTATACAATCCATCCCTACTCCCCACAAAAATAATGCAAATTTTCTTATCTTCACATCCACTTAAAAATCTGAAAATGATCAAGAAACACAAATACAACATTTGAGTACCACTCTTCTCTTCTTTTATATTTTATGGAACATGTTAAATAAATGAGCAGATTGATATTTCTCTGGAAATGGAATGGTCATTAGACTTTAACAATTGGATCAATAACCCATCAGATCACAGATGGATATTGATCATTTTTATGAGTTAAATTGCCATGCCAAATCTTTTGATATTTTAATTTCAAATGGTTAATTAGTGAATTGAGAAATTTGGACCTGATTGAGTGTATAGAAGGAGATGGGAGTAAAGCATCTTTTCATTTCAAGTTATTTGTTCCACCTCTCTATTTTTGATTTACTTTACATTGTTGTATCCCTAGGATACACTTCAACACCTTTTCTACAATCCCTATCTCTTTAGTTCTTACTACTTCCTCTACCCCAAAGAATAGCATAATCCCAGCCACTCTACCGCATACATCCCAAAGTTACTACACCCAGAGATGAGAAGAGAATCAAAAAAGAGATTATTAAAGGAGAAGGAGAGTACAAAAAGAAAGGATACATCTCAAATAACATCATTACACAGAGATGAGAATATAATGTACATATCTCATGACCTTACTACACCCCAAAACACGTTCCAAGTCTCTTCTCAATGTGTTAATGGAAGTGGAATGATATCTCTCATAGAATTAGGTAATATGGATGATCACAATGACAATGAAGAAGAAGTAGAGAGGAGTACAACACCACAATGTGAAAATACAATAACTAAAATATTCATAGAAGATAGCTTAATTGATGATGTGAGAGAATCAGAGTGTGTTAGAGAGGGTCTAGAGCAAAATGAAGAATCAAACAAGGAACCTGAAAATGAATTGGTACATCCACAGCACACTCCAGAAAACACCAGGGAGGAAAACAAAGAACATGAAGAGAGATACAAAGAGGAGATCAAGAAATTGAAAGACACGCTCAAACACAAAGATCTCATCATTGAGTCATACAAAGAAGAGGTAGAAAGTTTGAAAAGTAGAAATGTTCTATACACCAAGGAGTACATAGAGAGATGTATTGACAGAGGGAGTGAGGTTGCCAAAGAGATGTGTGAGGAGTATACAGAGAAGTATAAAAAGGCTGTACAGAGGAATAAGGAAATAAAAGAGATCAACACACGGCTCAAGTCCCAGATAAGAGAAATGGAAAGTGTGATTGATGTGTTAGTAGAGAGGGTTAAGAAAGAGAGAAGTGCAGAGTGCATCCTAACTGAGATCAGAGAAGAGATGAAGAGGATGTAGAGAAGAGGGTTGTAAAGGTTAAACAAAACATGGGGGTATAATAAAGGGTTTACTTTAATTTTGACGTGTACTTCTTCTTAACGCTTTCAAATACATCCAAGGGGACATCCTTGTAGTTCAACCCAAAGACCTCCACAAGGATGTCCACTTGGAGTAATGCATCGTTGAGTTCGCTGACACTCTTAGAGGGGAAGATTGTTGGAGCAACAATAAGAAGAATGTTCTTAGTGGTCATGTAATTTGTGTGTGCATTGTCGTTTATCTTGCTAAATAGATCCTGCAGTGCTATAAATAACCTCCTTTCCTGTGGTGGTATACACCAGGGAAAGTACTTCTTTAGATGCAATACCAAGTCCTCCCTAGACTCGTTTGAAATACACCTGTACATTGCTTTACAAGGGGATAGGGGAAGTAAGCCATCCAACACCTCCCTTACATAAGCTTTAAGGATAGAAGCTAGGTTTGTAATATCATACTTTGTAAAGTCAATCCTCTCACCCCTCTGTATGTCGTGAGGTACAGTGTTGTACACACTGGGCCTACCACCCAATCTAAAGATCCCGCGCTCCTTTGCACCGTTTACCTTTAAATAGTCAATCAACTCATAGATGAATGGATTTACACTCTTCTTTGGGAAGTAATTCTTGTCATTTGTTTTCCCAAACAGCTTCTTTTTGATAAAAAGGTAAAACCTGACAATCTTCCACTTCCCAGATCTCTTTTTTATCATCCTACAGCTATGTACAGCTAGGAAGTGCTTCTCTTCCTCTGTCAATGAGTCATAGCTTATTGTGTTGGAATTCTTGGTTATTGCCTGTGATTCTTTGCTAGTTGTGTCTATGGAGAGTTGTGGTGTCTCAAGGGAGGTAGAACCAATACTTTGTGGTTTTATCTCCTCACTTTCTCTTATTTTATTTACTTCTACATCAATTGTAGATTCACTCTCCCCTTTACCTCTCGGTATATCCAATCGTATCTCAGAGGTACAACTACTGGTTGTATCAACTATATTTATACTGTTACACCCACCAATGTCATTCACTTCACTCATTTTTTTATCTTTGAGTTCGTTTTCTCTTTTGTTTACATCCTCCGTATCGGAACTAACTGTCTCTGATGATAGTTCATTTATTTGAGATTCCAATTCCCTAAATAAATCAACCCTGCTAATGTTAGCTAGCATGAGTTTATACTCATTCTTATGGTAATACTCTTCAAGAGATTCTCTTAGATGTACATTACATGATTTATATTTACACTTATTCAGTGATTTTATCCTTCTAAGATCACACAATATTTCTTTTTTATATTTCTCTGTGTTACAGATATTTCCTATCTTCCTTGTCTTTTGAATAACTCCAATCATTCTTAATATTTTATAAGTACAATTTTTATTTATACTTTTGAAGAACCCTCTCTATGTTTTAGATTCTCAATCTTTGCCATAATGGGACATATTCAATTAATTTATATTTACCCTTCCCCTTACTCTTTACATAAATGGTACATTCGTAATATTAAATAGTACCCAATAATAAGAATAGAACCAATGACTCACCGTTACATCTAAAGAGTGTAAATAAATTAAAATGAGTTGGAGAGTGATACTAAAGTCAAAATTTATCTATTTTATATTCCTGATATTAACCTTGCTATCACTCAAATAAACTTGGTATATCTTGTTGGCATTGTTGTACATCCCCTCTTTGAGGGACACAACGAAAAATTGTGAGTTTTTGAATTCTTTTCTTATAATCTCACCCATCCCTTGGGTATGGTTCAGATCTAATGCAGAATCAACCTCATCGAAAATGTAAAAGGGTGCTGATCTGTACGTTAGCATGGAAAATATCAAACTGAGGGCAATAAGACTTCTTTGTCCCCCACTCAGCTCAGAGAGGGAATCTTTCCAATTACCTATCCTAACCCTTAGTTCATAACTTGGAGATAGAACCACATCACTCTCCTCAATAAAAAATTTTAGAAACTTTCCAATCTTCCCGTTGATGTGGTTAAACGCTTTATTTACCTCAGTCTTACTGAGCTTGTTCAATTCTTCGATACTTTGCTTTATCTTCCCTTTATCATTCTCAAGTCTGGTGATCTTTTCTTCCAAGGCTTTGATGCTCTCCTCATTCTTCTCCAAGAGGTCAAAATTTTTTGGATCCATTTTTGTCTTTCTTACACCTCTTAGACTCTCCATCTCCCTCTGAATGTTAAAATACTCCCTCTTCAAGCTCTCTTCCTCCTCTCTGCTAATTGGCAGTGAAACTAAATGAAAGATTCTCTCATTTATACCCAACTCCCTCAAAATTTCTCTCACTTTCTCTTCTCCCACCCCTTCATTCTCCACTTCATCATTCATTAAACACTCTTCCCTTACACTCACTCTCTTCATCTTCCTTTCTGTTTCCTTGAGAAGGAAAGACTCCCCTTCTGTTGGATAGGAAATACCCCCTTTGTTTAAACTTTCCTCTATCTTAGAATGTATCTTTTTCATTTTGTTCTTAGATTTGTTAAGATTTTTTACCAAATACTCCCTCTTTGGCTCTAGCATTCTTTCCTCCCTTTCACTAACACTCTTTTTACTATTCCTAATATCACACTCCCTAACACTCCTCTTACAAAGATTTATCTTACTTGAGATCCTCTCCTCTTCCAATTCAATCATTTTCCTTTTCTTTTCCAATTCTCTCAGCTCATTTCTGAATTCCTCTCTCTTCAAATTATTTTTTTCTGTCTCGTTCTTCAATCTTTCCTTCTCAAGTATTTCCCTCCTTAATTCATCTAGCTCTATCTCTCCCTTACTTGATCCATTCAATAAATTACTTATAAAATCGATTCTGCTACTTACTAGTGTTATATCCTTTTCTACTCTTTCTAACCTTTCCCATCTATCAATTCTTTCTCTCACCCTATCTCTCAGAGAATCTAATTCATTTGTAATATCACATTTAATGTTAATACTTCCAAAAACAACACTTTCTTTAGATATTTCATCCAACGTGTTATTTATACCATCTTTTAGTTCCTTAACTCTTCTCTCATTCTCCATAATCTCCAATTTTCTTATAACCACGTGGTTATACCTCGGTAACTCACCCCCTGTTAATGTACCCTTAGGATCGTAAATAGTACCGCTCAATGTTATACACACAACCTTGTACTCAAAGCATACCCTCTTGGCAGAGTTCGAATCTTCGAATATAAAATAATTGTTAAATACATGCTCAATAGCTTTTTTAACCTTTTCATTGTATCTCAGAACATCCATTACATTTACACCGCCTGATTTTCTAATTTCTTTCAAGATGTTCGAGTTTAAAATCTTTCCCTTTATCTTATTTAGTGGTATTACATTGATTTTCCTGTTCGTATTCTTTAGCAACTCAACACCAAGTTTTTCATTCTCAACAATAATATACTTCCCTCTCCCTCCCATTATTGTATCCACTAAAGATCCATACTTATCACTCTTAACCCAAATATTCTCATCTACCGTTCCATATATCCCCTCTTTACCATAAGGGTAGTTTAATCTCTTCTTCATATCAGAGATTGTGTGCTTTAGTTCATTCATCTCTCTTTCCATCTCCTCTACCATTTCAATTCTTTCCATCAAGCTTAATAGACTCTCCTTCATAAGACCCTCCTCTTCTTTCATATTTTCCTGTTTTTTGACATACTCTAACTCTTCTCTCCTTCTCTTCAACTTTCTCAGTTCTTCAATTTTCTCTTCTACACACGAGATCGTGGTTTTAATTCCCGATTTGCACATTTCTTTATTTTTCAATTCTCTCGTTAGATAACTCTCTCTTTCTCTCAATACATCCAAAATATCACAAATTTTGTTATTCTCAGGTACCTCTGAGACACTTTCTAGTTCCCTACTTAACAGCCCTATTTTACTTAATACTTCGTTCTTTTCCTTCTTAACTTTGTTTATATTTCTGTATTCCTGGTCTATCGATATTTGTATTCCGAGAATATCAACCTCCTCACTTTCATCTTTGATTTGATCCATTCTATTCTCAATCTCCTCTAACGCCACTCTCTCTTCCATGTACACCTTCAAAGTCTCTTCCAAAGCTTTTTTAAGATTACCCACCTCACTTTTAGTTAACATCTCTTCTATTTCCTCTTTCCTAGCTCTATTTATCTCTCTTTTCTCCTCACACCTTTCTTGCTCCAAGTAAGCATCCCTTTCACATTTCAACTTGTCAAAAAATGGTGATATCCTTCTAAATAAACTCTCCTTCGCTTCAATTAATTTATTTTCTTTCTTTTCTAACATGGCCATTGCCTTTTCTTTCTCCATTTCATAACCTCTGATCCCGGCTGTTTCTTCTACCAGCTCGCATAAATCTTTACTTTTCATATTTAGAATCTTTGTGATGTGTCCCTGCATTATCACAAAATAGGGAGAGCTAGATCCCTTAACAGAACTTAGCCCAATAGAGCCAAACATTTTAGAAACGGTAAGAGAACTGCAGCTGTGTCCATTTACTGAGTATTTGCTCTTCCCATCTGAATCAATACACCTACTTACAACAATCTCATCATAGTGGTTATATCCTAATGGTGATCCTTCCTTGTCATTGTTATTGAACCTTAGTGTCACTTTACATTCCTTACATTTATTATTTATCAATTCCTTGTAGTTTGACACTCTCAGCAATCCCATGCTTTCAGCTCCTAGCACAAAACATATTCCATCCAGAATATTACTCTTTCCCGATCCATTTAAACCCGTTATGGCATTAAATGATCTATCTATGCCCGATATTATTATCTTTCTTTCGTATGACTTAAATCCCTCTAGGATTATTTCACTAAGGTACATCCTAAGGGGTGAGATCCCTTCTCCTCTTAGTGTGAAATGTTTATATAAAATTTTTAGTTATACTAACCAGTGTTCATTTAAATGCATTTTATGCGTCCATCTCACTGTAGTATTTTAAAAAGTGAGACTTTGCATAAACAATGCAGGTATAAATGAAAATTATGGTGAACCTACGACATTAATGGAGTGGGAGGATAGTTATTTATTGAAAGTCCCTTTGTCTTCCTTTACCAAGGTCTTATCTTGTGACCTCAACTTATGTTACATTATTGACTTAAGATAGATTTATCTAGCTTATTTGTAAATAGGTGTTAATACTTGACAACATCGGATGTCAATAAATGGAAATGATCTAAAGATCGTTTTTAGATGTGATGTAAATTGGAGATGTAATACTTGACTTTCTATTGTCTAAAGTTAAATAAGGCTAGAGTTAGTAACTACTTAATATTTCATATATGTGACTCCGTTTGCAACATGACAGAGAAGGGTGTGATAGTATAAAGATACATCATATCCCTGTGTAAATACTCTCTTTTTACATGCACTGGCGAGTATATGGGACTTCCTCCAGATCAAAAGGGGAATGGAGAAACGGGTTATGAGACAATAAGAACTGGGATACAAAATAAGGGTGGTGATAGTGTGTCTTTATTCATCTTTAAGGGTATGGTTAAAGAAAGTTTGAGAGACAAAGAAGGATAGAAAGAGTTACAATATGATGAGAAATATAGAAAATGAAAGAAATGAGAATTTAAGTATCAAAGACTGTATAAAATAGCATTATGAAAGAGATATCAGTGACGAGTTCTTTGAACCACGTCTTTTCTTGAGAGAAGATACACTTGTATTCTTCAATTTCAGGACTAATGGAATGGGAGAGCTAATGAGCAAATTTGTCGAAGATGGAAATGAAATATTTACAATGTGTAAATATGACAAGGATTCCGGGGTGAATGTAATTTTTGAAAAAGATCTGATTACAAATACGTTTTCTGATATACTATTCAAGAATTACCTTTCAGAAATTCAGATTGGCGATGATGGAAAGCGTGTCCTACACTTAATGAAACTTTGATAACTCAGGATGTACGTTCTGCTCTCATTCACGAGATATGTATTTACAATCCTGAGCTAAAAATAATAATTCCACACGTTTTGCATGAATGTATGGAAGTGATTTAAAACGATGTGTCATTCATCCTTTGTAACTTTTCATCTTTGGGTGTTGTAAGGTTACAAGAATGATACACACAAGATTGACACAACAGGAGATGAATCTATTGGTATCTTACATAAAGTATGTAAAGATAATGGTTACACCTTAGTTATCACAGCAAGCCATGGAAATGCTGAGTGGACGAAAGATAAAAACAATGATCATGTCAAAAAACCAACACATAAGGTACCACTTATAATTTGTGGTAACAAATTACAATATAAGGAACCTAAAGGAGTATGTGGTAACACAACTCACTCAGGGATGTATCATCTACTATACTTTTTCAAACTTCCCTTGGAGATGAAGTGACACCCCTTTTAAATCTACACAGGTAGATAGGTGTGATCCTAGCTTTAAGTAGAAAGTCATGGTTATTAAACCCTGTTCTGGAGAACACCACATTCACTCCTCATCCTTTACCTCATTTGAACCAAACCTTCTATGTAGAATTGTGGGTGGTGTTAGGAGATATAATAAGAGTAGCGTGGATCTCTAATGTACAGTTGGTGTTCCAACTCCTACTTCAAATTTCCATACACTTTTCTCGAATAGAAATTAACTTTCATTTTTAATTCCTTAGTTCCCTCTATCTAAAAACAGATAAAAGCAAATACAAAGAAGTTTCTCCAAGCTCCTAAAATTTTACTCTAAAGCCCCTTGAATGTCAGAATTGGTGTTAATTCAATTTGAAAATGGTGATGGAACAAAGAAGTCTGAGAGGTTGCAAGTACCAATTCAAATAGAAAGAAAACATCTTATCACACTTTTAGAGGGTGAGGATAACCCAACTCTGTATGTAAATGGACATGTAATAGAAAATACATTGAAGGAGGTATTAGTAACACAGAATATAACGACATATGAAGATTGCATTACCATAAAATTTATTTTAGATGATCCTAATAGATCAAGACCAGCTCTTTACTGTTCTTCTAGCTTTAGTGGACATGAAGGAGCAGTGCTATGTGTGAAATACTCAAAGTGTGGGAGGTATGTGGTAAGTGGGGGAGGTGATTGTACGGTCAGATTTTGGGATTCTCTAACCAAAACACAAATAAAAATAATAAAAAACCACACACACTGGGTTCAGTTTATAGAGATATCCCAGGATAACCAACACGTTATTTCTGGATCCATGGATCACACCATAAATCTTTACACTGTAAAGGGGGAGTTTATTAGAAAGTTCACGGGCCATAGGAATTCCATTACAGGAGTGTTATTCTACAAAGATGCTTTTATTATCAGTTCTAGTAGAGATAAAACCATTAGAGTTTGGAAACTCAGTGGTGAATGTATTTTTTCATATTCTCATGATACACCAGTAACTAATTTTATAACACATGGAGAGTTTATTATCTCCTGTTCAAGAGATCCAAAGATCAAAATCTACAAGAATTTAACCTTTCTTTGTGATTTAATAGGACATGAAAGAAGAGTCAATTGTTTAGATGCACATCAAAATACCATCGTATCGGGAGGTGATGATGGAAGAGTGATAATATGGAGAGATAACCTTCTATTTAAAAGGTTAGAACATAAGAATATAGTAACTACTGTCAAGATATCCCCAAATGGTGTATACCTAGCAAGTGGGTCATTTGATAGGACTGTTAAGATATGGTGTGTCAATACGGGTAATCTTATTTACTCTTACTCCCATGTTCACTATGTCTATAATTTAGATTTTCGTAGCAATTTGGTTATTTCCTGCTCCAAGGATAGAACGGTTAAGTTCTATTCTCTTAAATCCAAGAAGGTTATCTCTGAGTTAACATGTAACGATGAAATATTTTGTTTTGATTATTTCAATGGGTCGTTGATATGTGGATGTAGAGATAGAAAGGTTTACTTTTTTAATTAATAAATAAATGGTAATTTTGGTTATTAAAAGTGCTCAATCCAAGGTATTGCTCTAACTCTGAGGGATTGCTAGAACCCCCGGTGGATGGATGATAGAGTAGAAATTAAAAGTGAGATAGAGAGACTGTGTGTTGCTAACAAAGAACTAAAAAAGGAAGTAAAAGAGCTAAATAATTTGTTAAAGATAGACCAGACGAATAGATTCTATATGAACAGTAAATTGATACTTTACGTCCATACAAAGGGTGTATTGGATATGGGATTAGATGAAATGATAGATTTAAAGCAATTTGAAGAGAAATTGGGGGATTGTTCGTTTAAAGATACAATAAACTCTCTTTATAATAAAATTGTTGAATTCCTGAAAGGGAAGGTCATTTTAGGAGGTAAAGGTTTGTTATATTGTAGGAATCTAGTACTTCTTCTGGGTTGGGAGATAGCTATTGATTTATTGATAGAGGTTGGAGGGTTAGAAGGGTTATCTAAAGTGTTACCAGAGAATATCAAATCTATTGGAAGGAATGGAGTGAATTATACCTCTATATTACAGAATGTAATAAAAGATCTTGAAAATGATACACTGAATAGAAGTTATAATAGAACAGTAAACACAGTAGAATTAAAAGATGGTAGGATGGGTATTATAGGAAGGAGTGATTTAATTGGGGGTAATAAAGAGATGAGTAGAGTTAAGATTTTAAGGATCCTAAGCAATAAAATATCCATAGCTTGTAAAATGGATTTGTATGGAAGTGAGAGTGAGGTAAATTTGAGAGAGGAGGTCAAAAGAAGGATTAAAGCATTGGAAGGTAGGAGTGAATGTAAAGAAGAGGTACTCTCCATTCCTATAGGGAGAAGAAAGGGAATTAGAGGAGGAAGGAGTAAGAAAAAGAGAATGATTGAGAAGAGAAGGAATATCAAAGTGTTAAAATTGAAGGAGAGGGTGTTTCTCTCTGGTAGCAATTTTAATGGTGAGAGTTGAGAGATTGAACAAAATAAAACCTTTATTTTAGCACTTCTTCACCGGTGAGGTAAGGATTCTTTTTTCCTTTTGAATGGACTATCAATCCAAATATGAGACTGTCTCCTATTCCTTTTTCTCTTTAGACACTATCTGAAAGGATTTACTACAAGGGAATAAATTAGTACAATACCAATACCACCTTTAGGTATGTCACTGGTATCTAACCATAGAGAAGTCTTAAGTAGAGTTTATTTAAGAAAATGGCATAATTAGCACCACCATTTAAATCATCCATATCTTAATCTTATGCTTCTACCACAATTTAAACCATCCTTACACTTGATACCAATGAAGTTCTTGAAAGAAATGAAGAGACTTCTAAACATGTTGTTAACAGGAAGGGTGTGATCTGAATTCATTTTCATCAGTGATAAGACAGAGAATCCACGTTTTTCTCTAGTTATACCCTCTTTTAGTGACTCTACTAATTTGTAGCTCACAACGCTTAAAGAGAGGAATGATAGAATTATAAGAACTATCCAAATTGGTTTCATTTGCTTGGGTTCGAAAAGATCGTTTTTAAAGGAGCGAATTTAACCAAAATATTACCTTAAATGAGAATACCCAAATATAATCTATAAAAATATATTTATTCCTTATAAGGTATCTTTTACGAATATTGTGAATTTTTGCAAAAAATCTCGTTAACATTTTAATTATACCCCATAAGGAAACATTTACAAATTCAATTCAACAGACCTACCCCCACCACAACACAAATTTTATTTAAAACATTCCAAAATACCTTTTATGGTAAAACCACTTTATTACATTCTTATCCATTTAAGACCATTTACAACTCCTAGGAACTTATCTCTAGGATTGTTACATCTTAGAGATAAATTCAATAAGACTCACTCTCTACATTTAACTTAACATGTCTTAATAGCATTTAATATATCACGTCATTTAGTAGATGATTAAACCCTAAAAGGTTAATCTATCCAGAGTACCATTTCCAATGTACTCCTATTAATTTCCCCTTTAATTTCAATTTTTTATTTCCCCCTAATTACAAGAAAGATAGAAATGAATATACCATTAAAGAATATAGCAATAAAATCTCTACAGATATTGAGTTATTGCTCAATTGGAGTGATCTTTACTCTAATGGATTGTATGTCTTGTGGTAGAAATATCCTACCAGATACACAAAATACATTAAAGCTTGAGCATCTGAGTATGTCCATTTTCCTTTTCAACACGGTCATTTCTCAGATGGTTTATGGAATGGTCACAAAGATACCAAGTGGTATTATGTCAGGGGTGATAATTGAGAATATAAGCATTGTGGATAAGATAATCAAAAAGTGTGCAGAGTTAAGTGAAGATAGAGACACAATCATTACAAATACCCTTCTGTGCATCTTCATTTCAACTGTTCTATTCTCTCTGTACTCTCTTGTGATCAGTAGATACAAATTGGAAGTGTTCTTAGAGATGGTTCCAAAGGCTGTAATGATGGGTTGTTTTGGATGGGTGGGAGCAATGCAATTCACTTTTGGGTTTAAAGAGTTGTATGAGGGATCCTTTGACTTTAGATTTATTTTTACATTTGGTTTGGCTTTACTTCTAGGTTTTATAGCTTATAAGCTACAAGAGAGATATCCCACCTTCATTTATACCATTCCTTTATACACTCTTTGTATAACCCTCATCTTTTACGCCATTTCATTTTTATACTTAAAATTCTCATCTCTAAGCGTCTCTATCCAAGGACTGGTAGATGAGAGATTTTTGTACCCCAGAGATAGTTTGAAGTTGTACCCCACCATCATCTACAAATCCCTAAAATTTGAAAAGATTGATATTTCCATTATCCTAAAAAACACCCTTTACATACTCTCCATATCCTTACTTAGCTTGGTACATCTCCCTATAAATCTATCTACCTTCTCCAGGGAAACGAAGCTTAAAACGAACATCTCACAGGAACTAAGGACTCAATTTATTGGGAATTTGATTGGGAGTTTTTCCTTCTACCAGTCCTACTTTATTTGTACATCCTCGCTGTTTTTTAACAGGAGTGGTGGGAAATCTAAGATAGATTCTCTCATTTTGGGTATTTCCATAATACCATTGATGATCTTTGGTACTACCTTAAAGGGGTATATTCCTAAAGTTGTTATAGCAGTGTTTCCTATCTGTATGGGGATATCTCTTTCATATCCCTGTTTTATCTCACCAATCTTTCAGTGTACACTCTTAGATTATTTAATTCTTCTTGTCTCTTGTGGTATTTGTTTTATTACCTCACCACTCCTGGCTATCATTTTGGGTACACTCATTTCATTTCTATTTTATCTCAGAGACAAGTCGCTCTCCTCCAAGAAGGATGACAAGAAGAAGTATCATTTTAAAGACACACCACTCATAAAATATAAAAAGGTAAAGTACATTCTATATTTTGGTAACTTTAATAAATTTAAAAAGGATGTAAGGGAGATGGATAATGTAATTAACATCTTGGATTTGAAGGAGTGCTACAGTATCGATTGGCTGTGCAATGAGTATCTTTTGGAGGTATTAAGGGAGAGAGCCATTCTTGATAAGAAGTTCTTTTTGATTCTTGGAGTACCTAAGAATTTGAGGATCGATGATATATTAAAAGAATCTTTGAATGTTAAGATATTTAAAGAGTATAAGGAGATAGTAAAGGAGATAGGGGTAATAGAGAAGAATGAGTTGGTTTAGCTTTGCTTATTGGGGCCTCCACAATAAACAAATTTTCCGTACCCTCGATGAGTGGTAAGATTCAAGGAGTACAGCCTTTAGAGATAATTTGTAAATTTATAAAAACTAGAACTCTAATAGAGGTATGGGAGAGAGAAAGACTAAATGTTAAGCATAGGGGTGTTATAGTAGGGTTAGATGAGTATATGAATTTAGTATTAGAGAGGGAAGGTAATAAAAAAAGAGTGTTAATTAAGGGGGATTGTATTAGTGTTATCTTACCTTTAGAAAAGCTTAGGGTTGTAGAGAGGGAGATAGTGTAATATGAAAGTATAGCCATTTTAACCCTGCTGTAAGAAATGGTCTACAGTGATCTTTGGCTAACTCTAAAAATTTAAATAAACCTTTAGAGAGGGATGTAAACAACACTAAAAATTTACTTTCTACCTTTCCCCCTTAAATGGGGATAACAACAAAGCTAGTAAAAGTAACACTTCTAGTAGAAATTATTCTATTCATTTTAATACTCCTTCCAATACCAACGCACTTTAAAAAGACAACAATTCTAAGAATTCACTCCTCATCCTTAATGAGAGGTACAAAACATATTTTACTGGCTGTGTACTCCATGATATCTCTACTTTTCTTGGATTCTATCTTTAGGACTTACACTTCTTTGGATTATTTTAGGTATATGGCAGAGAGAAACCTCTATCTGACAGGATTTACCCTGTTTTTAGCTTTGGCATTCTACTCGCTGAATTCTCTTATTGTTAAACTGTACCAGGAGGAGGAGAATGCTAAGATACTGAAAAAGCAAGCTTTAAATCAAAAGGATCACTTTGAGAGTGTCCTAAGATCATCTAAAGAGAAGGATACGACCATCAATGAATTGAATCTTAAAATTGAGGAGTTGAATAAGGAGATAGAATCTAGCACCATTCTACTAAAACAGGTAAAGAACAATGAGAAGGAGTATATAGCCCTACTCAGGAAATACAACACCCTTAAGGAAGAGACAAGAAATGAAAATAAGAAAACTAAATAAAGTGGTGGTTTATTAAACACTCTCTGCATTTCTCTTTTCCATCTCTTCTATTTCCTTTTTATAAACCTTTCTTAATTCTCCTATCTCCTCTCTCTTTCTCTCAATCTCATTCTCTATTTCCTTATAATCCCTCACTTTCATTTCTATCTTCTTACACTCACTTTCTATTAGCACCTCTACCAATCTCTTCAATTTCTTATCTTCTAACTCTCTTTGCTTTATTGCTACATCCTTACTCTCTTCAAATAAAGAAGTATCAATTATACCATTTATATCCCTACCCTCCCTAGAACACTCCTCTATCCTCCTTATAACACTCTTTGACACCTCACTACTTACCCTGGGATGGATACTTCCACAAAGATAGGAAATGTAACACATTAAAGGATTGGAAGACACTTTTATTACCTCTTCCCTCCTTAACAGCTCTAATATCCTCTTACCTATCGGTAACTTTAAAAAATACAGAATGCACCTCTCCTTGCTCTTACTCTTCACATGCTCACTCACTCTATTCCAATCGTCACCAAATCTTTCTATTCCGTCCACCAATAAAAATTCTTCCTTTTTACTCCATCCCTGATTCAACACCTCCTTATCCAATTCCCCTTTACTTTCCATCACCCTCTTTTTTTCCCCCTTATCACCCATCTCCTCAACCTTGTGGTTTATTAACCCCCACCTCTCCAAAAATGAGAAAATTGAAAGTAAATTTTCTATCTTAAAGGGGACATTCTCAGCTCTAAGCTTAGAAAACGAGGTAGAGAGGGTTAGATACTCTAAGGAACTCTCTCTATAGAACTTAATGAGCGTATTTCTTATTTTAATGTAAATGGTGCTATTAAAGACATTGTTGTGTTCCAAAGTGTCTATTACAGCGCATCCCTCATCATCCGCCTCACTTTCCCTAAATATTTCAGGAAAACTCTCTTTCTCTATGAAATGAACCTTCTCAAAATCAAACCACCGGGAATACTTGGATTGTATTTTAACATTTCTGGCATCCATCCCTTCCCTCTCTTCCTGTGGTATGTTTCTCATATCGACAATACTTGGATTGGTATGGGGATGTGCATCTGTCCTCTTCAACCCGTAGATCTCTTCAAACTCCACATCCTCTGCCATGGGGAAAGGGGTCTTCATTTTTAAAGGGTAGCATTTTAAAAAATTTAATTTTTAGAAGATCTCCTCGTCATCTATCGATGAATAATCTTGGAGATTCTCTTCCAGATCCACTCTATACCTAAGAATACCTCCAATACCACCAAACCCCTCCAAAAATTGTGTTCCCTCTCCACTCCTCTCAGATACAAACTCTAACCTACACCCATACTCCTTATAACTCTCTGCTATCCAATCAACGAATAATTCATCGCCTTTCATCTCCTTCAGTTCTTCATAGACCATCAACGTTTCAATACTTCCCATCTCAAGACATTTCATGGTATCACTCATACCATAACAGTACATCCCCCTGTCTAACCCTATCTCATCAAAGAACAGCTTAAGGACTTTCTTTTCCTTATAATACCTAACATCTTTAAGTATATCCCATGATAACTCTATACACTGATTTAATCCATTTTCCCCTCCATAATTGGTATCTATCACTTTAAGCACCATTTCTCTAATTCTTGAATCCAAGATGTTTCTGAGTTCATTCTTTAGATCCGAATGACCTGCTAGGATCATTCCTTCTACATTTAATTTGTCATCCGTGATATATAAATTTGTGCATATCTCAGATACCTTCTTTATGTAATTATTCCTCTTTTCAATTCTAAGCCTAGCAAATCTTACCGAAGACTGTCCACCTCTTCCGTGCTTCTTAGGCAGATCTACGTTTAGGGTTTGGAGTATCTCCTTAAAGTTTCCTTGAAGAGTTGAAAAGAGAGTGGAATGGCCATCTATAACAACTATTCCATATTTGTACTCATCTTGAAATAGCTTTAAAAGGTCATCCACATGGAATTTGGAATCGCAGAGGTATAAAGAGGTGTTTATTGGCTTGATTGGTTCAATTCCAATACTCACCTTCTTTTCTTTGTTATCCTCTGTCAAGACGGTTCCTACAAATATTCCAAGACCGTGAGGTGGTACTTTTGAGTAACTTTTTAGTTTCTGCTGAGCTGAGGTTATGGCACGTAGAACACTTAACCTATTAACCCTACTCTTTATGTTAGATGCTGTTCCATATTCATCAACTAACATTTTTGATATTCTTGATATTTGGTCACCTGGTGGTATTACCAAAGAGATCATCGAGGTACCATTTCCTTTACTCTCCTTCAATTTTTTTAATTCTTTTTTTATCTTCCAAGTTTCAATCTCATCGCTCATTTCCAAAGGGTCTCCTGGAGAGAGGAACTTAAAAAATTAAAAATTTATAAACTGACAATGAAAAGGTTACTTTATTTTATTGAGGAGAAGTAATCTCTCCCCATCTTTCTATTCCCTCTTTTACTGTTAAAAGAATCTTTCTGGTACCCCTAGAAGATGAACGTTCAAGCAAAGATAAAGGAAGTGGAAAATGAAATGGCGAGAACTCAAAAGAACAAAGCAACATCAAACCATTTGGGTATTCTAAAGGCTAAACTAGCAAAATTGCGCAGAGAATTATTAGCACCGCCCAAATCATCTGGTTCTCCTAAAGAAGCTGGTTTTGATGTATCTAAAGCAGGTGTGGCCAGAATTGGGTTTATTGGATTCCCTTCAGTTGGCAAGAGTACTCTCATGTCCAACCTCACAGGTACATATTCAGCTGTGGCTGAGTATGAATTCACTACACTCACGGCGATTCCAGGAATGTTAAGATATAACGGGGCTAAGATTCAAATAATAGATCTTCCTGGTATAATAGAAGGTGCTAAGGATGGAAAGGGAAGGGGAAGACAAGTTCTAGGAGTAGCTAGAAGCTGTTCACTCCTCCTTATAATTTTGGATGTATCTAAACCATTAACCCATAAAAGGATAATAGAAAGGGAGTTAGATCTTTATGGGATAAGACTTAACAAGGAACCTCCTGAGATAAAATTAGTGAAGAAGGATAGGGGTGGTATAAACATAGTAGGAGAGACCTCTATAGATATATCACTTATTAAGGGAGTACTTCACGAGTACAGAATCAGTAACATGGACATAATTTTTAAGAAGAATACTTCATACACCATTGATGATTTGATAGATGTGATAGAGGGGAATAGGAAGTATGTCAAGTGTATCTATGTATTGAATAAGATAGATAAGATATCAATTGAAGAGTTAGATATAATTTATAGAATACCACATGCAGTCCCGATCTGTTCGTACCACAAATGGAATTTTGATGATCTTCTCAAGAGATGCTGGGAGTATTTTAATTTTGTCAGGATATTCCCCAAACCCAAGGGTCAATCGATTGATTATCTAGAACCTGTGGTTCTTAGGGAAGAGAGAAGGTCAATTGAAGATTTTTGTAATTCGATTCACAGAGGAATCATCAACAAATTTAAGTATGCACTGGTGTGGGGATCTTCTGTCAAACACACCCCACAGAAAGTGGGTAGAGACCACATTCTAAATGACGGGGATGTTGTTCAAATAGTGAAGGGCATTTAAGGTAAAAATTCGAATTTTTCACTTTTTACTCTTTCTGGGAGTATCTCCCTTGTTAGATATAAAAACCGTTCTATTTATAATTCTATCTCCCACCTCTCTCTCCAAATCCTCTAGATACTCCTTCCCTTTGTAAACAAACTTACCAAAGAGACTTTCATATTCCTTAATTCCTTTGATTAATTCTCTTTCTATTCTAAGAAGGGAAGGTACAACATTTCTTCTGAATTTCTCTTCATCCAGCAATTGGAATGAGCTTTTAAATAATCTTTTTGGATCTGAAGCTATCTTTTCAAATTCTATCATTCTTTTGATAATTAAATCTCTCTCTCCTATCATTTTATTACACTTTACAAATAAACTCTTCTTAGGGAGCATTTCCTTAATTTTATTTTGTATTATTTCCAATTTCACCCTATCTATCTCATCATCCCTTACTATCTCACTTAACCTCTCTTCCACACCAAAGATTCTGTAGATCTCTTCTAATTCCCTTCTCTTCATCTCAAAGAGTTGCAAAAATAAAATCTCCTCCACCTCTCTCAGATCCCTTAAAAAATTCTCATTCTTTGAGAGATTCTCCTCTGTGAGAATCTCAAAGTTTAGGAACTGTTTATTATTTAACAATCCATTGATGGAGTCCAAGGACTCACCCTGAATGTTAAAATGCCTTAAGTTATCCTTCTCCTTATTTAAATACTCTAAAAGTAAATTTAATATTTTAAAAATTTCATTTTTTAAATCCTTAATCCTTTCCTTTCTCCTTTCTACCTCTTCAAATATCTCTTTAACCCTCCCCTCTATCTCACTTATCTTTATATCCCCTGAATTATTCAAAATCTTTCTATCTATCTCTTTATATTCCTTAATTTCTAATATTTCATATCCCTTCTTAATGTCTCTTATCATTTTAAGTCTGTTCTTCTCCCTTTCTCTTCTCTTCTCTTCCAACTCCTCTACCTCTCTCTTTAAATCCTCAAATCTCTTTATAGAAACATCCTCCTTTAAAAGTAACTTGATTTTATCTAAAATGGGTAGTGATCCACTGTTAATAACAACACCACCCCTACTTACCACCTCTCCTAGCTCCTCTCTGATACTTTGAGCTTTTTGTGTGAGATTTGCAATTTTAATAAAAAACTTTTTAAACTTTAAGTAAAGCTTTGTTATTTCATTTAAGAGATACTCCTGTGAAAGAAAGAGATTTTCAAAGGTAGGATACTCCACCCTATCTTTAGATATCCCAAGTCTTTTTTCTATCTCCCCTATCATTTGATATATCTCAATGTTCTCCTTAGAAAACCTTTCTATCTCAGTGTTACCTTGGGAGATTAAAAGGTCTATGGTACCGGTGATTTTTTGTAGTTCTTGGTTGTAGTACTTAAATGGATGATCTCTTATACTCTCTACAGGAACTATCTTAGATAGCGTGGTTTGTAGTGTTAATAGCTTTGTTTGTATAGCTTTTAGCTCTTCACCTTCCATTTTCTTGTTTTTGTGGGTGTGTGGGATGTGGATTGAAGGTGTAATGGAGTGGTGCTAATGTGAAAATCAAACTTTAAACTTTTTATTTACAAAGAACATAAAAACATCTTTTATGTAGAGAAGGTTGGGATCACCTGATTGATTATCTCATTGTTATTCTCCGTAACTAGTGTTTGAAGCGTGGAAAGTCCATTGTTTACTATATTAGAAATTATTCCTTGTATATCACCACCAGCGGTATTTAAAAGAGTTGATATTTCATTCTTAATATCGCCATCAGCAGCGGTTAAAATGTTAATAATGGCTTGGATCTCTTGGGTTGAGATGGTATTAACTAATTGTTGGATCTGATCTAAAAGTGAATTCAAAATCGATGTATAGGCACTAAGTAAATTAGTAGTACCTGTGTTCATAATATTTGTAACTCCACTCTCTTCTGTTGAATTCTTACTATTGACTAGATCTTCTATCTGTTGCTCTACATCGGAAATGATAGATTGGATGGAAAGTAGAAGATCGCTATTTCCTGTGTCTATCAAAGCTGTAATTGAGCTTTGATCAGGTAAAATAAGCTGGTGGATTATTGGTTGATTATTCGATGGATCATTTATAATTTCTATTACTTGGTTGACAACATCGTTGTTCTTAGTGGTAATTGCAGATGAAATGTTGGTAAATTCCGTGGTTGAGGTGTTTGTAATGGCTGTGGATACCGCTTGTTGTGCTTGTGAAAGGATAGAGGTGATTTGATTCATTAAATCTGTTTCAGTGCCCCCAAATACGTTATTTATTGGTATTGTCTCATTTTGGATTACCACCTGCGTAACATTTTCTAATATTGGTAGGACATTTCCAAATAGAACACCAAGTTGTGTTAAGAAATCGGCATTTCCCGATGTAATAACACTTTCGATGGAATTGATCTCTGTTGATGTATAGTTATTAAGGAAATTGGTAAGATCGGTGATTACTCCATTAAAAACATTTTCTATTTCATTAGAGATACTATCATTTATGGTATTTATCAGATCTAAGAAAGGCTGTATTGGTGGTGGTACAATGGGACCCATTTTAAGGTTAGGTACAACACTGTTTTTCTTAAGCTTCTCTAAGGCTAGAGAAGGTATAGTATTCAGGTTTAGTTGTGTATTAGGGTTACTTGTGGAAGTAGATTGTTCTATTAGAGATAGTTGTTTGGGATTGGCCTCTTTCATTGCAATTTGAAGATTTGAAAGATCTTTTTTAAAGCTCTTTGATGTTATTTTACTTCCCTTGCTATTTAGTGCATTTGCTCTAAGTATCCCAGAATTCAACAACAAAATACTAAAAACCATAAATCTTCCAATATAAATCACCATTTTATTTTACCACTTCTCCATTCCTTATATACTTTTTAATTTTTGAGAGAATATTCTATGATCTCTAAGGTTACAACCTTTTTCCTTTTTAGGAAAGATTAAATGCTAATAAAAGTGTAAATGGAATCATTCATTTAAATTAGAAGTGAGGGGATGTTATGTAAATATGGTCCTATAATTTAAAACACAGATAATGTCAATAGAATAATGAGAGGTGGATTTATAATGTTACTGTGGGGAATTACCCTTTGTGAGGAAAGAAGGAATGAAGAATCTGGAAATGTGAGTTTTATTAAAGATACAGTAAATAAGGTATCTAAATCTGAGATTATTGCAATAAAATCGATCATGGGGATTGGTAATGAAGATATAATACACTCAACAATGGAATTATTTACAGATAGTATAAATAAGATAGGTAAAATAATTGATGAAATAACAGTAGGAGAGGTAAAGGAAGTTAATAACCTTTTAAGGAATATAAGTAATGACATGCTGCTTGAGAATGTGAAAGAAAGGGTAATCAATGCTATAGAGGATATAGAAACTTTAATATTAAGAGTAAGTGACACGATTGAGAATAAATTTGAAAGTGTAATTAGAACATTAAACAATTCAATTTGTGAGCAAGCCATAGAATTCCTCAAAGAACCAACATCTAAATCTCTGGTATCACAGATACACCTCCCAAATAGCAGTGAAATTATCAGCGCTGTTGTAACAAAGAATTTAAGAATTAAAAATGAGATTAACATTGTCTTAGATAAGATGTTTATAGATATAAGAAGTTATACTTCTAAAGCTGGGAGTATTTTTATGGAAAAGGGATCTAACATAATAAGAAGATCGAATTTGGAGATAATAAACAAATTGTTGGATGTTCTTGATGAAATAAAGACAAATGTGGTACAGATTGTATCTAATAGAACTGAACAGGAGATTAAGGATATAGAAGATGTGATGATAAGACATAACAACAGCTTACTAGCGGAAATTGAAAAAATAGTTAATTTTACCCAATCTAGGGTAATAAAAACACCATAGATAGTGAAATGTTCAAAGTAAACAACAAACCTAGTGAAGATAATACCTTTTTATAACAATCTGTGACCATATCACTTCTCTCAGTAATATCTCTGATGTAAATATTTAGATAACATTTATATTGGTACTTTTGATATAAATTCTCAATAACAGGACCCTTGTAATGAATGTACATGAGGAATATCAATACTTAAATATTATAAAGGATATACTTGAGACTGGTGCAAAGAAAAGTGATAGGACAGGTATTGGGACCCTATCTAAATTTGGAACAATGATGAAATATTCATTGAAGGATAATAAGTTTCCATTATTAACCACAAAAAGAGTCTTTTTTAAGGGTGTAGTGGAGGAATTGCTGTTTTTTGTTAGGGGACAGACTAACAATTCAATATTGATGAGGAAAGGTGTAAAAATATGGGAAAAGAATGGATCAAAGGAGTTTTTGGAGACTCTGGGAATAAATAGGAGAGAAGGTGATTTGGGACCTGTTTATGGATTTCAATGGAGACATTTTGGTGCTAGATACGGAAGTTGTGAGGATGATTATTCCAATCAGGGAATAGATCAATTGCAAGAGGTAATCAACTCGATTAAAAATAATCCAAATAGTAGGAGACATGTTGTTGTTGCCTGGAACCCAACAGATTTACGAGAAATGGTTCTACCTCCATGCCATTGTCTATTTCAGTTTGAGGTATCTAATGGGTATTTAAATTGTGCATTATATCAGAGATCAGGTGATATGGGATTGGGTGTTCCATTTAATATAGCAAGTTATTCTCTTTTAATAGTTATGGTTGCTTATATGACAGGATTACTCCCTGGAGAACTCACTCATTTCATTGGAGAAGCGCATGTATACCTCAATCACATTGAGCAACTAAAAACACAGGTTTTAAGGACACCCAGATCGTTTCCTAAATTATTTGTAGAACCCAAGAGAGAGATAAAATGCATTGAAGATTTTCATTTTGATGATTTTGAACTTAGGGATTATAATCCACATGACATCATTAAAATGGATATGGCTGTTTAATTAAAGCTTAAATCTTTTGAAGAGTGTGAAAGTCAGTCTCGAAGGAGAAGATCTTGTCATGACCTTGTTTATTCGATCCTAGCTTCATCCTGGTTGTAGTTATCCACGTATGGTTAGTTAGCCTCAATTCTAGGTAGATAACGTTCATATAATCCTGGCACCGCATACTTGGGCTTTACCTACACTGCAAGTTGTTGAGATTGTCATTGTTCATTGACAGATAGATATTCACACTAGTCAAGATCCACTTGATCATGTCTGGTTCCCCACTACCCACGAGATATGAACCCCATTGTGTCATTCTCCTGAAGGCTTACAATAGCGACCACCCAACAGTCTTAGTGTTCCCCATCCCAGTACCAACATCCATACTTCCAGAAGGCATACTATACGATCACTAAACACGATCTCGAACAGGCCCACAAAGTACTGTACTAAGACGGGACTCAAACCTTGGATCTCCCTTCAATTGTGTAAATAGTTTGATAATTAGCCCATCGTGATCACAAAACATAGGTAGATCACAGGAAGCTTTCCTTCTACCTCCTTAGGATAAGTAAACCATAAAAGAAGTAGAAGATGATCACAAAGAGGAGATAGAGCATAGAGAAGTACAGTAAAAAAGTTGAACAGGTGAGAAAACAACTACTGACAGGAAAGACCATTCTATAGCGTTAATGAAGGATACACAAAACCACACTTGTTGGAGGTGTGGAAAGACACTTTGGGTCAAGGATGGTGTTCCTGGTTCCAGAGAGTGGGATTGCCACATCCATTCACTGATCTTAGATCCAGGTGTGTATAGTGAGATGGCACTGGATGTAGAACAAAGGAAACAGTAGATTACAACAAGGGTGTGATGGAGTGGAACCAGGGTCCAGTTGTGTACTGTGTCTCTCTGGTGTAGACACTCTTTTGTACATCTCTTTGATCCTAGGATATGTTCACACCATCTCCAGATACACAACAATCACAATAACCTGTTCATATTTCAATAAATTACACTATCATTCGCATCAATGTTAAGCTTCTCTTCCACCCTAAGGGTCTTGATGTTCACTCCTCAGACACATTGGCACAGGGGAGAATAAAAAATTTGCAAAAAAAATAAAAATTTTAGATACCCAAAATGATCATTTTATCATTTTATGTACATTCATCTTTTATGGTATTATTTTAACTAAAAGTATTCCATAAATAAAAAAAGTGTAAAAGAAGAGAAGAAAGCAATTTATCATTTATACATGTTGCCGGATAAAGTGGTATCGAAACCACATATTATCCTCAACCCCCATTCCTAAGGTAGGATTAAGGGCGATTATATTTAATAGTTAAATATAATCACCCTTACAATTATTTTAAATAAAAGAAGTATTTTATGAAAGGAGAGTTTAAGAGAAAGGGCCTGTCCACCAGTGGTAGTGGTGAGACAGGTGACATTGGCGCCCCAGCAGAAAGATATGAGGAAGTGAATGAGTTAGTTAAGCAATTAGAAGAAAATCTCTTTATGATAAGAGGTGGAAACTATAATTTTAAAACATATGATGGGAAAAATAAGGGTGAGGAGGCAGAGAAGTGGCTCCAACAATTTTTACCCTACATATCAAGATGGAAAGATGAATTAATTTTATCATATATAGCAGTTAGTTTAGAGGGAAGAGCAGGTATCTGGTATGAAGGAGCCAGAGGAGAGGAGATTAACAATTATCAGGAATTCGAGAAGGAATTTCGAAGGATATTTTGTAAGAAGACGGAATATCAAACAGGTGAGCTGTTTAAATTGTTAAACACAACAATTTCTCTTAATAATATTTTCGAACACTTTTCAAAGATTAGAAATGTGTGGAAGAAGACAAATATTGGATTTGAAGAAGTTCATCAAGAAATACTAAAAAATTTTAGTGGTTGGGTTGGGACAGAATTAGAAAATGTCAAGAATTTTAAAGAGTTATTGGATAAAGCCTTGGAAGTGGAGGAGAAGTATGTGAAAAATAGTAAGAGGAGAATAGGACAAAAATTAACAGAAGAAGGTCGAGGAAAAGATAAAAAAAATGCAACTATTACTAGTAAAACTTTGGATAGGAAGAATAAAAGTATAGCTTGTTATGTTTGTGCAGGCCCCCATTATGCTTTTTCCTGTCCGCGACGAAGAGATAAATTATCAAATTCCTCTGGAAATAATAATGAGAGAAGAGAATCACGAGTAGTTGATTCACCTCGAAGAAAAGATCAGAATTCAAATAATACAGAAGTAAAAGAGTTGAATTCTACTGAAATGAAAACTATATTAATTGAGGATGGAGATGTTGCTGAAGAAGGATTATATCTTGATATAGAGTTAAATGAACAAAGAATATCAGCTTATTTAGATAATGGTGCTGATAGAGGGTATATTGATCGGTTATTTGCTTTGAACAATAATTTTAAGTTAGAAGAAACTGGTAGAGAAATGGAGGTAAGCTTTGCTAAGGAAAAAGAAAGGATAAAAGAAGTGAAAGCGAAAGGAAACATTATTTATGAAGGGAAAATAAAAAATCTCGAGTTTACTGTTGTAGATGATCTAAATGAAAATCTTATTTTTGGACGAACAATCTTTAATGCTTTAGGAATCGATATTTCTTATAGGGATCAAGTGGTGAGAATAGGAGAGGACTATACCATTCCATTTACTGATTGCGTAAGGTCTAGAATCAAGGTTAAGAAAGATATAACGTTAAAACCTCAGGAAGTATGTGTAATTGAGATTGAATCTCCAAATAGGATGGGATATATTGAAGGAGAAACGAAAGAGGTACAAACTGCAGAAGCAACTATAGTAGGACCTACTACTACTTCTATTCCTGTTGTTAATGTTACTAACCGAGAAGTTAAACTTGCTCGTGGGTATCCCCTATTTCATATTAACTTTTTAACAACTACTTCAATTTCTTCTGAGATAAATAATAAGAAAAGGCGAATAAAACATGAAGATATTCAAATTCAGGAAATTATTGATTGGTATTATAATGAAAGCAAGAAAAAAGAAAATTTACCAGCTAAAGATGTCATGCATAATATAGTTTTGAATAAAGAGTCAAATCCCATTTATTTAAGGAATTATAGGTTGGATCCTTTAAAATCTGGGATAGTGATTAAGGAGATTGATAAATTACTTAAGGAAGATAAGATACAAGAAAGTAATAGCCTTTGGAATTCTCCGATCGTAATGGTAAGAAAAGCTGATAAAAGTTATAGAATGTGTATAGATTTCCGTAAAATTAATGAAATTACCGTGAAGGAACTTACACCACCACCTTTGTTAGAGGATTGTTTAGATTGTTTAGTGAAAGCTAGAATATTTTCTGTCATTGATCTTAAAGATGGGTATCACCAGATATTGTTAGATCAGTGTTCAAGAAAATATACTGCATTTACAACACCAATAGGGAAATTTGAGTTCAAGAGGATGCCATTTGGATTAACAAATGCCCCCTCAACCTTTCAGAAGTATATGAACAGCATCCTAAGTAAAAATATTCTCCAAAATGCCCTAGCTTATATGGATGATGTTATTGTATTCTCTGAAAATTATAAGCGACATTTAATTGATATTAAAGAAATTTTGAATAAATTTTTGGAGCAAAATCTGAAAATAAATTGGGATAAGTCAATATTTGGAAAAGAACAAGTGAGTTACCTTGGATTTACAATATGTAAGGGTACCGTAACATTTGATAGAGAGAGATTTAAAAAAATAAAAGATAAATTAGTTGTAACTACTAAAAAAGAACTACATTCTATGTTAGGATTTTTAGGATATTATCGTAAGTTCTTTAAAAGATTTTCTGGGAGAACCAAGGAATTGTTTAATATGATAAATGGAAAGAGTGAGTTTGAAAAAGAGAAAGCTAATTATAAGATTAAACTTTTAGTTGAGGAACTTTGGACTTCTGATGCTTTTTATCTTCCCAGGATGGATCTACAATTTATTCTTGAAACCGATGCATCAAATCATGCATTAGGTTGTGTTTTGAAACAAGAAATTTGTGGATGTGAGCGAACAATTAAATTTGGAAGTAGAACTTTAGTAGGTGCCGAGATGAATTATTCTACCACAGAAAAAGAGTTTCTAGCTATAATTTTCGCTGTAAAACACTTTAAAGTTTATTTATACCAAAAATTCATCATCCGAGTAGACCATAAACCATTAATTTATATTAAAGAAATTAAAAACCCAACAGGCAGAGTGGCGAGGTGGCTTATGTTTTTATCAGAATATGATTTTGATATTGTTTATAATCCTGGAAGTAAAAATAATGCTGCAGATACTATGTCTAGGATTTGTACTATTAGTTTGAGTAATAACTATCTATTGAATGAAGATGGTGAGGAAAAGTTGGGTGAGGAGGAAAAGGTGAAACAGATACATAAACTTCTAGGTCATGCTGGAATTGAGTCTACGTATTTACAGTGTAAGAAAGAATGTTCAAAGAAAAATCTTTTAGAAATTATTAAGAAGGTGATTAAAAATTGTGAAATATGTGGCAAGTTTGGGAAACAAGAAGTCTTCAAAACGTTTCCGACTAATTTTGTAAAAACATTTGAAATGATCGGAATTGACACCATAGGGCCTCTTTTTAAAACAAAAAACGATAAAAGATACATCTTAATAGCTACAGATTATTGCACACGTTGGTGTGAAGCCATAGCTGTTAAAAATAAGGAAGCTAAGATTGTAGCAAAGTTTCTTTTAGATAAAATTGTTCTTAGATATGGACCACCTAAGATTATTAGATCTGATAGGGGAACAGAGTTTCTAAATGAAGTTATCAAAGAACTAAAAGAAGTAATGAAAATAAAATGGTCATATACATTACCATACAACCCACAAGCGAATGGATTGGTAGAAAGAACCAATCAAAGTATTATTCGTAAGCTAAGTAAGTTGATTTCTGAGAATGGAGAGGATTGGGACCGTTATTTATTGGTTTCTACATTTTGTTATAACATTTCACCCATAG